TTGGAAGAAGCTGACGCCAACATGTCCTCATGGAATTAGCAGGAAATTTCCGTTGCAGCGTTTTTGTCTTCTCTAAGGGGAAAAGACGGCTGAACCTTGATTTTTTTTTTCCCCAAAGAGGAAACTAGATTTCAAAAAGACACAGCCCTGTTCTCCTCAGGTAACACAGTCTTATTTCTTGATGAGAATTGGCTACATGAACCAGATAGGAAGTCTGGAACCACAGCCAGGTTTGCGTAAGCAAATCCAATAGGAGTTCTGAGCCACTCATTATATCCTAAACTATCGAGCCCGTTGTGCTCTAACTTTTCAATCAAATCAGTGCAGAAGTTTTTTATTTTTTATTTTTCATATGGGCTGAGTTTTTTTTTCTTCCCTGATGAACATCTTTCAAAGCAATATGGTAGAAAAAAAAAAGAATAACTAAGAGAGTGTTAATAAGGGAAGGCCTTTTCAGCCTTGGTATTGTAAAATCATACTCAGGATATTGAAGTTTCATTTTCTTTGTAGGTTGTGGGATTTATGTCTGCGCCGTGCACTGTGAGGTGTACCTCATTTATTAACTGCCTGGATGTTTCTAGGCAAAAAGTCAGTGAAAATGATTAAAACCAAAGGTGGCAAGCCAGCGACCACCTCTTCCTGTGCTACAGTCTTCGATGACGCAGACTGTAAAATCAGGATAATGGAAATTAAATCGGGGAAGAAAAATGCTTCCCCAACCTCTGACTTTCCATGTCTCCTCATTATCACTGGAGCAGGTTTGAACATGACTGCTGCAGAATAGTTTTAGCTGCGCAGACAGTTACTAATAGACCTCGTTCTTCCCGGGAGGACATTTGAGACTTCTGTCTGTGGTGCTCCAGTGAAAGCAGATAGGATCGAGGGAGTTGTCTGGTCTGTATTCTCTAAGGCTCGTATTGGCTTTGGGGCTGGAAATCCTTCTTTCCCACATTATTCATTCATGCGCTCACTCACTCACTCATTCACTCACTGAACAAATATTCATTGAGCCCAAAGAGCATGTCATGTTAGGTTCTTAATAAAATGGTGTAGAAAATAGGCATGGTTCTTAACTGAAAGCATCCTATTTTGGATGGATGATCAATGACCATCTCTCTCAGGAGGTAACGTTTACACTGAGACTTAGGACGAGGCATCAGCTATGTGAAGAGCACAGAAAAGAACATTTTTTTTTGACTGGAGGTAGAGTGAGTGTGAGGGGCCTGAGCAGGGAAAGAGCTTGACACACTCCAGCACTGAGAGCAGCTGAGTTTGGCGGGAGCCTGTGGCCCAGGTGTAGCGGAGTGTGGGTGGGGATGGAGTGCTAGGCAGGGGCCCTGCAAGGTCAGCCAAGGAGTTTGGGTTGAGTTTTGAGTAGAGTGGTAGCCACTGATGAGAATGACATGGTCCATATATCTGTTAACAAAGATCACTTTGGTTGCTGTGTAGAGAAGAGACCAGACAGGGACAAGAGTGGAAGAAGAAAGATTCGTCCCGAGGTTATATAGAGTAATTTAATGAAAAGATGACTGTGTTCTGGTTGAAGGTGGGGAGATGGAGACTAAAAGCCATATTTGGGTCTAACTGATAAACGTGGCTGTGGAGTAGGGTTGAAAATTAACTATTCAAATGAGTCTCCCACACTACTCCAGATGGCCTCTAGATGTGTGGTGTGTGCGCAGGGCAGAGGCAGCGGGGGTTATGAGTCCTCATGCGGCTGCTTGTGGGTCCCTGTGCTGGGGGCCTCACTGGCCTCTGCTGGTGACCGTCATGACTAGTCTGGGCCTTGGGTCCCTTGTGTGGACATGCTGTACTGATAGAAGACTGCTGAGCTTGTGCTGTCATGTTTTTGCTTCAGTTGGACCTCCTGGGCCTCCCTGGATGGCTCAGCCTCACCTCAGGGCTCATCTGGGTCCTCCACTGGGCTCCTGCCTAGGCTGTGGCACCTCTGTGTTAGGGTCACCCTCCCTTCCCTGTCATGGCATGTGAGAACCTCTAAGTCCCTGACTCGCCATGGAAAGGGCGATAGGAGGCGTGGAGATGCTGACTTGTCCTCTTACTTTGATGCAGCCTGCCCTGTGTGTGTGTGTGTGTGTGTGTATGTGTGTGTGTGTGTGGAGGTTGCCCTGCCAGTTTTCCTCTGAAGCTCCCCACCCGCACCCCTGGATTTTGGTTTGAGTAGGGAGCTAAGACACGTGTAAGTCCACCTGCTTGCTTCTCTTTCGTCTGTTTCCTCTTTTTTCATACTCCCCTGAGGTGGGAGCAGAAGATCTCTTACTTCTTTCCCCCTCTGATAAGAATTCACCTGATGTCACATCCTTGTCTTCCACAGGACAGCGGGCTTTGTGGCCCAGCTGTCATTTGCAACCCCTTTCTATGCTATATGAGATACTTGAAGGGGCGGATGCCTGCAGGCTGGCTCTTCATATGGGAACCACGGGACTATGGATTATTGAGGTTGAGAAAACATTGGTTTATTCCTCCAAATTATTGTCCTTGTTACCCTGAGGATTAGTAGACATCGCCAAAGTTGTCAGCACGAGCATCAACTGGGCTCATAGTTCGGTTTATATTGCTGAAGAGGTTGCTCTCTTCTGCCTAGAGGGTATGTAGTTGCCTAAGCAGGGCAGTTAAGTATTCTGTGATAGGGCCTCAGGGCAGCCTCTCATGCTGTCCCTTGCTGCCTGTCTTCCCATACCCTGTGCTCTGGCCAAACTGGGCTTCTTGGTGCTTCTCGTGTACGCTTCATTCCTTCATGCTTTTCTACTTCAGGGCTCTGACTTCCGTAGTCCATGTCTTATGCAATGCTTCCCGGGTTCCTTTCTCCTCTTTTTTGCACTTTTCATTAAAGTCCTACACATCCTTCGAGGCCCAGCTCATGTGCTGTGTCTGAGGTTTCGCCTTCAACTTGGGACTCTCGCTATTCCCTCTGAGGCTCTCATTTGCCTTCATGGCAAACCTTACCAATTCCCGTGTTGTGTTAGTGTCTATGTGTTAGTGTATATGTCTGCTTTTTTCTTCTAGATTATAAGTTTCTGGGGAGGGAGGCACCAGACAGTACACAGCCATATATGGACTGTATATCACTGTCACCTGTGCCTCCTGTCACCTTGCCTTGCACACAAAGGTACTTGATAAATAATGAGTACGCAACCACACTACATAAAGCTCTCTAAATCTCACATTAAAAGCTTCCAAACAAGTAGAGAGGTGCTGTTTTTCCTAACATTTGGTGGCACTTTTCTATTCAATCTCCATGCAGACTTCTTGGCCTGAGATAGAATGAGCTGTGGGAAGCAGCTTTTCAACCTTTTCTCCCAGGCCCATGAAATAGAATGTCATTTTATTTACAGGAGTCTGTGGAGGCCCCCTAAACATGGCAGCACAATCATATATCAGAAACCCCTATCATAAATGAGCCGGATAGGATAAGCCAACTTGAAAGAGAAAATAAAATATTATAACCCCAACTTGAAAAGAAAATATGGTGTGCGGTTTATTGCTGTGGATTACGAAGGAAGAAAGAATGGATTTTAAGTCAAAAACAGAAAAGCAGTGACAGTCTTTAAACTCAATACAATATTCACAGGGCAGACACTCGACTTTAGAGAGCCAAAGCTTCAGGCTCCTGCTCTGGTCTATAAAAATAGATGTAAAATTGCTTTTGCTACATTATTAGTGCTGCATTATTAGTGTGCCATTCTCAAGGCAAGGAATGTTTTAGGGAAAAAAAATTAACTTTGGTACTTTCAAGTCAGAGTCTGTTGGTCAGAATCTCACATTGCATTTTAAAGACGTTTAAAGATTGCGGCTTTGGGAAATTCCACTCTGACAAAGTAAGATGGAAGACGGACTTGGAAAAGATTTGCAACATAAGAAAATCTTTAGCCATCCTGGTAATAAGTTCTGCAACAATCAGAAATGGGAAGGTGGTCTTCAATGAGATTCCTTTCTTTCTACAAACACCTTCCATTGAAAACGCCTTGCCTCCTTTCCTGGGCTCCCTCGCCCCCACCCCGAAGTCTCTGTTGCCTGAAGATAGTGAGTCACTGACATCTGGTTTAGACACAAAAATATCAAAAATGCCTCCCATGACCAAGGCTGAAAGTGGAAACGTAAGAACACATGTGGAATTTGTTGGTCAGGCTTGGTCTAGTCTGGGGGCACGGGGGTGGTGTGTACAACCCTCGCTGAGTTCGAAGAGGCTAAGGTAAGATGTGATAGAGAGGGGCTTATGCTCTGAGTGGAGGTTGAACCAGATGGCTCCTGAGGACCCATCCAACCTGGGTCACACAGTCATTCATGTCTTCTGATTTGCTTGTGAGCCTTGGGGACTGGATGTAGCCTGTCCCACCGGGTTCCCCCGTTTATAGATTTTCCTTTTGGATGCAACCTTGACAAAAGTGTAGCTACTTTTTATGTCTTTTACAAGACCATTTTAGGTCATTAAATGAACCATCTCGAGGGGCAGGGAAGGGACAACTAAAGTGAAATGGCAAGTGCAGTCAATTATATGGACCTTTCAGCCTGAGGCAGATTGTCTGGGGGTCCAATTCCATTGGATTGGATTGACTGAATCCATTTGTTCATCATTCACTCACTTGCTCGCTCACTCATTCACTCAACAAATGCTTTTCAAGTTCTTCCTGTGTGTCATGTACCACGGACTTGACCATTGCCCAGTTTTCTATTTCCATGCCTTTGTGTGTCTAGGCAAGTGATTTATCACCTTTTCTGGGGCAAGAAAGGTGAGCAGAAGAGAGTTTATAGTCACATACTGGGAAGACCTCAGTTTTTAGGGAGAAGTGGGTCAGGTGGGTCAGACATCTGGGTGCCAGGCCCATGTCCTATATCAACTTCCATTTAAATCTCAGACTTAAAGGAAACTAAATAAAAGCAACAGCTGTTACCAACAGAGTGATTTCTGTTAATTTTCCAGGAGAAACCAAAAAAGAAATCAGTTAATAAAAATAGAATTTATGTTCTTTGTTTGTTTCCAGATCACCAGATTAAAAATTGATCGAAACCCTTTTGCTAAAGGATTCAGAGATTCTGGAAGAAACAGGTAAGGATAATTGGGAAAGACACCGACATTTCTTTTCTTCATGACATTATTCCCATCCACCCTCCCCACACCCCATTGGTGGCTTTTGGCTCCTGCTTTTTGGGGAAAACTTGAAATCTATGCCTCTGTGCTGACTCAGGCAAAGAGAGATGGATAGCCAATCAAAAAGCTGTCCTCAAAAAGTTGAGTTTTCCAATTTTTGTTAACACTCTGTACAGATCCCTCCTGGTGTTTTTCTCCCTACACCATGCTTGATAATCCAGTCATTTAAACCAAATTTTATGGTGATTTATTATCATCAAAAGATTGCTCCTTTTTCTGCTAAGTACTCTAGGTGGCTATAGCACCTACAGTGGCACCTCATTTACTTTGTATTATCAAACAAGGAATTGTGGACAAATAAAAATTATCAGAAAATTATCACCTTTAAGATTAGCTAAAAACTGTTAAAAATTAGCCATTTTTCTCTTAAGAAATATTCCCAAAATATATTAGATGTTGCATGCCTTAGTAAAGACAGTTTCTAGAACATGACCTTTCTTGATGCCCCAGCATCATCATTAGGATTAGGTTATCATGTAGGGAAACTCTTAAGAGCTGCTGACATTTGCAGGACTATTTGCTCTTGTTGTAAGTGGTCTTAGTGGCTGTGGCATTTTTCTGGTTAATTCTGCTTCTCTCTAAATCCTTTCTTTCCCACCCTTCCTAATTAAAATTAAAATCTGTTATCCAGAGAGCTAGGGGAGAACTGAAGTTGCTAGGGAACACAGATCTATCTAAGGTTATTCAGTCAGAAAAGCTCACTTTATATAAACCATACTGAAACCACAAATGTGACACGTGTGTCTTGTAAAGTGTGTAGGCTTTGCAATAACCATTTACGTAATGTTCAGACATTTTCCTCATTTGGGGGCATTTCTTTACATCTGAATGACACAGACCGTCAGGAGTTACCTTTGCTATTTTCTCTGCAAGAGTTTTCAGATAAACTATCTAGTATATTTAGGATCACTTCATGAACTATATAATAGCATTCTACCGGAACCCAGATTTCTGCTAAAAATCATCTGTGGTGATCATTTCCTTTACAAAATTATTTATGGAAGCACTTCTTTTTTTTAAAAAAAGATTTATTTATTTGAGAGAGAGAGAGAGGAAGAGAGAGTGAAGATAGGGAGGGGCAGAGGGAGAGGGAGAGAGAAATTTTAGCAGACTCCTTGCTGAGTTCAGAGCCCGATTTGGGGCTCAGTCTCACCACCCTGAGATCATGACCTGAGCCAAAACAAAGAGTCAGGTGCTTAACTGACTGCACCACCCAGGACCCCCGAAGCACTTCTTCTTTAAAAAAAAGTATTTATTTGTTTTTTTTGAATTCCATTATGGTTAGCATACAGTGTTATATTAGTTTCAGGTGTACAATTTAGTGATTCAACAATTCTATATGTTACTCAGCGCTCATCACAATAAGTGTACCCTTAATCCCCTATGGAAGCACTTCTTTGTGAAACTCTTATTTTATATTTAAAATACATTTAGATTGCTATAAAATTTTATTTACCTCAGAATTTCTTAAAGTTGTATCTACTGAAGAAAAATTCACTTAAACTTCTAGTTTGAAGATGGCAAAATTGTGTAATGTGTTCTAGATCAAGCAAGCAGTTAGTGGTGTGGCCACACTAGAATTCAGGCACAAGAACTCCAGGCCAAATGCTTTCCTGTTCAGCAAAGACCTTTGTCTTCAAAATTTAGCCAATGAGGAATGCATACTTATTCCTTCCATTTGGGACAGCCCTCTTCCCGCCAGTTAGTTTATATTCCATGTTCAGGTGGTAGAACGTGCCTGTGAACTTTTTCCTGTTGCTTTCTTTTCGGGGCTCTGCATTCTAGGCTTATTGAGGATCTTGCTAGTGATGATGTGCTCGGAGTAGAAGCTGGCCTTTCATAAAGAAGCCGCTAGGGTATTTACAAATCGTTAGCTTGGAGTCCATGGATGGATTTCCGGGGTTCTGTGAGTTCCCAGGTATTATAAGGAAAATTGGTGTGTGGATGAGCAGGTATGCATTTTTCTGGGGAGAGATCTATAGCTTTCTTCAGATTTTCAAAAAGTTCCATGACCAAGAGTTAAGAATTTCTGCCCTAGACACCATGAGGGGTCAACCCTATGACTTTAGTTACTCAACTACCTTCTCTTTCTTTCCTTCTGTATCTCCAGTGACATTTAGTACTTGCTTATTTTCTTCTTGGAACTTTGAAGATTGTTTTGATTTTTCCTTGCAGTTTTTCTTCCACTGGAGTCCTTGTTTTTCAGAGGCGTGACCTAGAACAGAACATTGGAATAGAGAGGCTGTACTGAGCAGCATCAGAGTTCTGCTCTGAGAACTGGAACCATGCTTTAATCTGGGGAATAAGACCATGTATCTTGAAGCACTTGCCTCTGGTTAGGAAGTTGTGATGACATCTTGGTGCAAGTTCTGGGGTCCTCCCGTCCCCTCACTGGGCTAGAAGGGACCTTGATGCATCATTTGGCCCTGGCCTGGGTCTGCTCTGGGGCTGGTGAATGTCTTCCTGCTCAGGACAGTTATTGGTTTGTCCTGCCTCATGGGTTACTCTTCTTTGTAAGGACTCCAGGAAAGCAGAACTGCGGATCCTCATTGGCCCATTTCAGTGCCTTATTTGTTTATATTTCTGGTAGCATGGTGATTCTTTGTGACGTATGCCCCATTAAACGCTGCAGGCTACTTTAAGTAACATTAGTAATTACTGAAATTATCTGTGATTGAACACTTACTGTGTTCAGACCTTTTACTTAGGGTTTTTTTCTTCTAATCTTTAAAATATTTTAAAATATTTTACAAATGAAGAAACTGAGCCTCAGAGAGCTTAAGCAGTTTCCCTAGTGTCACAGAGCAAAGCTGGAGCACGGAGTAACTCCCGGTTCACCTGACTTCAAAGCCTGTGAACTTTGTGCTCTATCATGCTAACAGTTTAAACTTGACTTATTTTGTCTTCAACAGATAGGGAGACTAGAACTCCTCCTCTGAAAACCCTTCATTTACTTAAAGATACTACTCAAGTACCCAGAATCTTCTCTCTTCCAAATAAAACAACCTGTATATTCTCCACCTGTCTTTGTAGCCTTCCCCATGGCTTTATCATCTACTTTCTATACTCCCCGTAAACAAGGCGCTCCCTAGTAGAGGACAGGAAATCAGGTTGAACTTCCCTAGCAGGTGAAACCATGACATAATGGCCTTGAAGTCCCCTGTCTCATGAGAGGGCAAAGATGAATCATTGAATATAGAAGCCATTTTTGTCCTCCAGCACTCTGGGAAGCTAGATTAATATAGACCCATGGGGGGCAGGTATAGGGACGCTTGTATTTTGTCTTTAAAAAGCTCAAAATGACCTGACAGTCAGACTTGAAATCTCACTCCCTGCCTGCAGGATCTGATGAGGGCAAGAGTTATTAATGTCATTTTGCAGATGGGAAAGATTGATGGATGAGGATATAGGGGATTATTTGTAAATCTTCTGGGGTCTGGTGGTTCTGTGCTGACACCAGAATCTAGTTCCTTACCTTCCATCCAGTGCGTCACCTGTTGCCCTTCTTGTGCTAACAGAGTTTTTGTAAATCTATGATCATCCCCATGCATTTTAGACATCAAATGACTCATGGGGACAAGCATGGTTTGATGAGTTGCATATAAATGTACCCAAAACATACGGATTACATTTCCTTTAAAAACACATGGGCTTAAAATTTGGGGGGGGGAAGTGCTTGGCCAATATTTTTTGGTTTTGCAGAACACAAAACATTTGTGGAATACTTTGGAGTTACAGAATTTGCCAAACCTCAAACCAAAACACGTTTAGGTTTGTCTATCTCAATCTATCCCTCTGCAATCCAAAGGCTCAGGAAGGGAGGGGTGTGGAGGGAAGACGGGGAGGACACAGCACCCGCTGCAGTCTCTTCCATGCCTCTCCTGAGTCTCTCCCATCCTACCAGCCTCTCAGCGAGGCGTCCTCTGAGTGGGGCCAGCCAGGCGACAGCCGTGTCCTGGGCAAAGAGAAGAACTTGGGGGGGGGGGCTGGGGCGGCGCTGGGGTGAGGATACTTATTTCCATTCCTCATATTTCCATGTAAAGAGATAGCCACGGAGAATACTCCTGGCTTCTAGCCCTCTCGCTTTCTCCATCCCCTCACTGGGCATCAGAGTGACCCATCTGATTGCTGAGTCTGGGAGAAGGCACTCTTGAGGACCTGCCTGCCTGCACACAGTGTACATTCTGGGCTCTTGCCACTGTGTGGTGAGTCCGGCAGAGGAGGCCTGCCATTCCGGGGGGCTGGCTTGTTTCAGGGGAGTTCTGACCCACTCATTCAACCTCCACACCTGTGCCATAGTATCCACACACCTTTATCAATAATGAAACTGGTATTTCAGTCTCCATGGCTTCAGGCTCCTACATCTTTCTCAGACTTTATTCTGAGTTCAAATGAGGACAAGAAGTGACATTCATTGGGCCTTTCAGAACGCCTGCAGAAGCCCCAGTGAATCCAGTGTCAGCCCTGTGGTGTCACCGTCACCAGACCTTGTCACAGTCTTTCCCCGCTTCCTTAGGAAGTGCCATTCACACGCTTCAGTGTGAGAAGGTCACCACTCTCCAAACTGTACTTAGGGAGTTGTTACTTTGTCTTCCTATGTAATTGTGTCCCTGATTAGAAGTCTCCACCAGAAGTATGTGTGTGTGTGTGTGTGTGTGTGTGTGTGTGTGTGTGTGTGTGTGTTCATGTTGAAGGAAGGAGTGGTAGACAGCTGGTCCTTTTGGATGGAGACACTGTCAGATTTTGCTTCTGGCATTGTCTCTGCAATGGAAGGGCAATTGTGTTTACTTCTAAATTGTCCCTCCTTCTAGATTTCTCAGAAACTATGTGGCTCAAATCTGGCTTTGGGTAGACCCGTGTATGTTTACTTTTCATCAGGCCTAGCCCCAGGGCACAAT